TTTATCCTCAGGACATCCTGCCTGTACGTATATTCCAAAGAGAAACAAATTATGCAGGGTATTTTGTAACTGAGTAGTATTAAGTTTAACACACACAAAAACTCGTATGATTTTAAATTAATAATTATATCGATGAAAAAAATATACGTATGTGTAATAATATATTCAATATATTTTTTTATATTTCCGTTCATAAGCGCAAGTGTGCTCGGTCATCGAGTTGATAATTTTTTTATTACAAAACAAAAAAAAAACAGAAATAGAAACAAAATCTTATAAATTTCATTTCACGTATTAGTTTTTCACGTAGAATCAACTATCTGTTCGTTTCTATCATCAGTTACAGGACACCCTGTATTTATATGTATATATATACGTATAAAGATAATTAGCGTTGACAAAATTTCTTTCATTTGCAAATAAATAAATAAATAAATAAATAGAAATTGCTGCGCGATCTTCGAGCCCCCCCTCAAAAAGCGACGATCGGCCTTTCACCGCGAACACAACGCCTCGAAGTTATTATTAAATTATAATAAATGATGGATACACGAGAGAGGGAGTGAGAGGGAGAGAGAGAGAAAGAAGTATAATTAACAAAAAATATATTATTAATAATATAATAATATTTATAATATAATATTAATAATAATGATAACGAGATAATGGATAATGATTATTAATGAATCTATTTTGCGCGTAAACTTTAAGACTGCGAATATATGAGTTGCACTGTGTCTGTGTTTGTTTGTTTGTGCGTATGTGTGTGTGCGTATGTAAGAGAGAGAGAGAGGGACGGTCTTTCGACAAAAATTTCTACTCGTTCGAGACTTCGTTACACGGATATATTATAAATATATACATATATCCATTTTCTAATAGACGAAAATAATAATAATAATAATAATAATAATAATAATAATAATAATATTAATAAACAAATAAAAAATTACCTTAGAAGAAAATAATGAAAAGTTAGAACGACGATTGGGGGGGGGGGTTGCTGGAGAATTATAGGAGAATCTCTTAAAAAAAAATAATAAAAAGGGAAAAAATCCCCTTCGTGGATAAAATTATATAGTTAAATTCATTAATACAAGAGACAAGAGAAGAATAATGAGAGAAAGAGAGACAGAATATATTATTATTATTATTCTAACACGACGATATACGCGTATAAATACGATGATCGGGATTGGATCAATCTTTTAGAATAATTTCTAAGAGACTTGGAGAGAAAAGTAAATGAAAAATAATAATTCAGTGATCAAACTTACATCATATATATATATATATAGGACACAGACGATTATTATTATTATATCTATAGTCGCGCAGAATAATGGGACACAGGTATAATAGTTACGAAAAAAAAAGTTCATACGATTTTGAAGAGATTAGTGCATTAAATGCGACCGGTACTCCATCCTAGGATTAATCCTCGAAATTAAACACTGAAAGAAACTATGGATTAAAAAAAAAAAACAAAGGGATAAAGGGATAAAGAAAAATCGATTAAGGAAAGAGAATAAAGATAAAGATAATGATAAAAAAAGAGAGATATATATACACACGTACGGTTTTATGTCTAATAAGGACAAATTTTTCTTAGTACCTTGAAATAATAAAAACTAATTCAATTTAACCGGGGTCCTCGAATTATAACTATTGTTATATATATACACCTTTGAAAAAAAAAAAAATATATATATATATATATATTAAATGAATGATATAGATCACCGAGAGATGTAAAGAGAAAAGAAAAAACATTACAAAAAAAAAAAGAATACAACAATTCGTATCGTAACCCGTTCGTTTCGTTTCTTGTTTCTTGTTCTTTTTTTGATTTTTTTCTTTTGTTCTTGTTGCGTTGTGTTGTGTTGTGTTGTGTTGTTGTTTGATTCTAGATACACGCATAGAAATAATTTTCAAAAATGCGTTTCGAGCGAATGTGAGGGCGGTTTGTGAGTGGATGATGTGGTATAAGAATATTTCTACGAATAATGCAAACAAACAAACAAACAAAAACAAAACAAACAAATAAATAAATAAATAAATAAATAAAAAATACAAGCAGAGAGAATTAATATCTGTAGGTAAGATTTAAGAACGAAGAAGAAACAGAAGAGGAAGAAGAAGAAGAAGAAGAAAAATAAAACTAAAACACACGTGGCTTTTGTGGGTCGCGTTTAACGCGCTATATTATATNATATTATTATTATTATTATTGTATATTATATCCTTTTATTAGGATTATCGGGAAATTATGTGGAATTGGGGAGATATTTAAACTCTGATGGTTTAAGTTTTGAAAATATAAATTATCACGTTATATAAAATGTTAGAAAGAGAGAGAACGAGAGAGCGAACGAGAGAGAGAGAGAGAGAGAGTGAGAATGATCAAATGGATGAGAAAGAAAAGACTATAAGCAGCAACGCGATCGTAATTATATTTTAATAGGGGTTTGTAGAATAAAATATCGAATGATATTTGTTGTACGAACACGCAAGAAAAAATCGGGGATCGTCGTGTGGCCTTCGCAGAAATCGTTTAGGATGATTTAAACAAATTGGGATCCCAAAAGAAGATTTAACGAGGAACCAGGAAGATATAGAAGAAAACGAAGAGGAGGAGGAGAAGGGGTAGGAGGAGGAGGGGGTGGAACGTTAATTTTTTGCGAATAGAGAACAAGTAAATCGATTAACTCTCTAATTAAAGAAAAGAAAAAAAGAAAAAAATAAATGAATAAACCGCATGGGGGTTAAAAATAGGGGAAACTTTTAAACTAGAAACTTTTTTCTTTTCCATCGAAAAAAATCGGCAAAGCACGAATTGATTATTTCAAACGAAAGAAACAACACAAACAAAGTAAAATCGGAGGATAGGAAATAGTATAAATCTAGGTGCGAGATATATATATAAGCGGAAAATAATAATAATTATAATATTATTAATAATAATAATAATAATAATAATAATAATAATAATATTAATATTAATAAAAACCAAAAAAGAAAAAGAGAAAAGAAATAAAAGAAATGGGATGACGAGTTTTTTCATAATAAACGTTGATAGCCTCTTTAACAATTTTTTTATATTTTTTCCGTTAAGAGGCAAGATGAACGAAGTTATATTTAAAAAAAAAAAAAAAATAAAATAAAATAAAATAAAAGAAAAGAAAAAAAGAAGGGGGAAATGAATAAAACGTGGACATATTTAATTAACCGATGTCGTTTCGTGTGTGTGTAATTATATACATATATACACGAGAAAGGAAGGAAAATATAAAAAAAAAAAAAAAAGAAAGAAAAAAAAAGAGAAAAAAAATAATAAGAAAAGAAAAAAAAAGAAAGAAATAAAATGAACACACACACACACACAGAGAGAGTCATTTTTTACTACTTACAATTAGAATTGTAACGGAAGCTGCGTTGACAAAGTTTTAAGTAGCACGTTTTCGAAAGTCATCGTAGTTCTCGTCGTAATTCATGATGATAATTACGTTGACGATGACAATGATTACGACGACGATTATGACGATAATCTTTTGCTTAGGACGAAACTTTTTCTATCGTTAAATAACTTAAATTTAAATGTTTCACCGCGAAAAGAAAATAGAAAAAAGATAAAAAAAAAGAAAAGAAGAAGAAATATGAGGGGAGTATCGTTTTTTCTCCTATAAGTGAATCTTATATTTCTAAATAGCGTTTGTTGATAATGATGATGATGATGATGATGATGATGATGATGGTTATTCATTGTAATCGCTTAATCGAGCCACAATTTTTCTTTATTTAATTAAAATAAACCATACGACTGATCGTTTCATCGTCCCTTTTTTTTTTTTATTATTTTTGGGAGGAAATTATTATTATTATTACGCAAAGAGATAAGAATCGCGTGTTCATTTCTTTTCGTTATATA